TTCGATTTTTCCTAGCTACGTGGCGATCCCCGGGTTTCTTCTAAACTGTTAACATCCCGTAGTGCCTTTTTTTTTTTTTTCCCCTCTCTCCCCCCCTATCGCCCCCCCCCCCCCCCCCCCCCCTTCCGACAGCTTACTATTTTTAGGGAGAGAGAAAGGGAAAGAGTGAGAAAGAGAGAGGAGATTTAAAACGTTGGGAAGGACAGTAAACAGTGACAGAAGAAACCCTGAAAAATGTGGACTCTCCTCTTGCAATTCCTGCCTGTGTCCTCCCCCCCCCCCCCCCCCCCCCCTTTGTTCCTTCAGCTGTAACTCAAGAACACCATAAACCTATAACCCCCTCCAAGAAGAGAGAAAGGGAAAAAAAAAATCCGCAGCCCAAAAAGAATGACTTGACTGTTCTGACGTTTGGTGTTTTGACATTAATGACATTAATGATATTGATGTTTCACCAGGAAAAAAGCACCAGGAATAAAGGAGGTGGTGGGGGAGGTGCGGGGGGACGACTTTAAAACTAAATTATCTTCGTTTCCTTATTCTTCTCTGACATTAAGTATACGTGTTTCTTCGCTTGAATTTGAAATAGATGTATTGTTCTCAGGTGTTTCTTCATCACATTGTATTTAATTGTCTCCAGTCTTAGGAAATGTGTTGCCATCCTTCAGGCATGCACTTGAATGGACAATGCATCCTTCTATCTCACAGTCCCGTCCTGTCTACAATTTAAGCATAAAAGCCCCTTTCCATCATACCCCCTCCAGCAGATAACTAGGAGCTGGTGGCAGAGATTTCATTTTCCCTCTTTGTTTGCATTTTTTTTTTCCACCCTGTAAACAAGGATGCAGAATACCGCTGGGTTGCCTTACTGCCTTCAAAGGGAGCAGGACTCGCGCCGAGCTGCATACATGTGCTCCCTGATTTTTGGTCACCGATGACCTGGTGCAGCACTTAGGTGAGGTCTGAAAAAGGAACAAAGTTGCTCTCCAGAACCCTCAGGTGCCCCTGACTGTTACCAAAGTTGGAGGTTTCCCTGAAGTTTGAGGTGAGGTTTCTGTGGGTTGGTGTAGGGCTGCTCTACGCACCCTGCTCCGTTGGCTCTGGCCCTGGAACAGCCGCACTTTCAGGCTGCCCATTTTTTATGTCTTTTTTTTCCCTTCCCTTTCCAAAGACTCTATTATTTTTCCCCCTCCAAAACTATCAGGACCTTCACTCTGACCTTAAACATCTGCTTTTAGCAGCTCAGTTCCCTGACACTGGCCTGTGCTTCCTTCAGGGCAGCCTTCATTCATCATCAGGTGGGGATTTTCCTCTTAGAGTTGTTCCAACGCTCGCAAACCCTTCCTCTGGCACAAGGGGTTCAGGGCCAGGAGAGGTGCAGCTTTCTGCCACCTGGATTTGGACTGGTTCCTTGTTGTGAGTGCGTGCCCTTAATGGAAGACTGTGATCAAACCTTCCTGCTGGCTTCTGGTGCTTAAGGCCTATGAGAACCTTTTGACGTGTGGCCCAGGAATGGCGAACTTCAAAGGCATGTCAGCACCAAGGTTATGGTTCACCTGCACAGGGTCCTCTCTGCTGTAAATATCCCTGGCATGTATCTGGGGCTTAGACCAGTTCTGGTCTAACCATGGCTGGAATAGCATTATCGAAAAGCCGCACGTGTTCCTGCGGTGCGTTCGGATGCTCTTTGAATAGTCATGTTTTTATCTTCAGTAGGGGGTATTTTAAAGTATGTCTATTCCTAGTTTTAGTTAATTATCTTTTAATGAAAGTGTCAGTCATATTCACATCTGCAGTATTAGGTTAAGATAATTAGATTTTCAAATGAGAAGCAATCTTCTTAAATCCCACGCAAGAAAATATTTGTAGAAGATTCCGATTTATAATGACATCTGTACGTTTCACCCCAGTTCTCATCGCAATAATCCCCCCCACATACACCAAAAAAAAAAAAAAAAAAAAGCAGAAGAAAAAAAAGAAAAAGAAAGAAAAAGGAAAGGTATCTGGTAAAATATAGGAGATAAAATATTGATAAAATATCAATACTTGTAGGGAAAGTGGAAGATGGTGCATGTTATATGCATGACACATGTACCGTATGCAAAGAGCCCCCTTCCCTTGGCTGCTATTTACTTCATTTTGATGAGGCTGTTTACAGTTGACGTTGTATATTCCGGAAGGCTTTGCTTTTTACTTTGTTGATCTCTCCAAGCAATTACATGGCGGCCACCAAATAAACTGCGCTGTGCTTTGTGCGCTGGATGCATGCGGGCTGTATGTATGTGTGTAAATATGATGCAGGGTGCGTGCATGCGTGTGCGTGTGCTTGTAAATAAATTCCTCTTTATCTCAGTATGGGCAGATATCCCCTATCTCAGATATAGTATCTTTCCTTTTACAGGGGTGTTGTGTTGTACGTTCATTACCCCATTGCAAACATATATTTTTCATTAAATCCCCATTAAAAGAGAGGGAAAGAGAAAGGCAGGGAGAAAGACAAACAGCCAGCCAGAAAGAAATATCTCCCTGACGGAATAATTAATTTGGACCCGTTGCTTTTAAGTTCCCCAACAGTTAAAAGAGCAAGTCTGCCCCCTCCTTTTTTTTTTTTTTTTTTTTTTTTTTTAATTTTCCCTAGCCATCCACTTTGTGTGCCTGTGCGTGTGTGTCTGTGTTACTAATGAAGTTTGCAGACTCGTGTTTGCATCCACGAGCTCTTTCCGCTGCCCCTCTTCTCCGGGCTGCCCGCGCGGCTCTCGCAGCCCCGGCGCAGCCCCAGAGCCGCGGCGCTCCGGCTCCCGGCCGCGGGGCTGCGCGTCATTTGCAGCCCGGAGAATGTTGATCACCTCACTAATTACACCTCTCCCTCGCCTCTTCCCTCTCCTCTCCCTCTCCCTCTCGCTCCCTCGCTCTCTCTCTCTCTCCTCTCTCTCCTCTCTCTCCCTCTCTCTCTCTCATTCCCAGAGTGCATATCGGGAATAGACACACAAAGACATGCGCACTCAACTTAATCAGCCATTTTTTTAAACAGGGCTAAAACGATAATAATTAGCAGAATAAAGACATATCGGATTTTCATTTCCTTTCCTCCTTTTCCCAACCCCTTCACAACCAAACAGCGAGACCGCGGTCGGCACATGCTTTAACAACTCCCGGACCCCAAAGGACCGCTCCATGCCCCCCACTTCTTGCTCAATCATTTTTATTTTCACCCAATAAAGTTGGAGGATTATTTTTTTTTATGATTTTTTTAATGAACCTTCTCTCGTTTACTTGGATGTGATCAGCTGTTAAGTAAATAAAGCAAAACAAAAAAAAGAGGCGAAGATCCAGTAGGAACTGCGAGGGGAAATGGAAAGTAAGTTTTTTCTTTAACTTTTATTGAGTAGTTTGTGTTAAATTTAGGTCGAGTATCGATTATCTTTCCAGGCTGATCTTGCACAATCTTTGATATTTCGCTCTCGCTCTCTCTCTCTCCTCTCTCCGTGCCTCTTTCTCTCTCTCTCACATACGCACACACACTCACATCCCCGCATCCCGCGTACCTCTCCCCTCTCTCTCTCCCCCCTTTTTCTGCCTGTTTCCCCATTTTTAGGTACAGTATTTGCTCTCGTTTGGGGAGGAGGGGCTGCTTTTTCTCTCTCCCTTCTTTCTTTCCCTCTCTCTCTCTCTCCTATTCCGGGGGATACGTTTGTTTGTGCATTATGATATTTTTTTTGTTTGTTTTGCTTTACGGATTTTTTTTTTTTTTTCCGGGATGTAACTTTGGGACCGAGCGGGGGACCCTGTTTACTTTGCACAGGAGGGTCTGGGGGTGTCCCTCGCTTTGTATTTCGCTCGTTTTTTGTCTGGGAGATCGGGCTGGGGGGAAGCACTGTCAGATGAGGAGCGCCGTTCCGGCTGTCAGAACCCATCGTCCGCCGCCCCTTTTGGGTTCTCGCTGCCGTCCCGCAGCTCGGGCCCCCCAAAACTTTGAGGTGCTTTCCGAAGGCTCCCCCCCCCCGCCCCCCTCCGTCCCTCTCCTTCCCATCTCCACCCCCCTCGGCCTCCCAAACTTTCGCTTTCGGGAGAGGGGGGGTGGGGTGGGGTGGTGGTGATACCAGCAGGGCAATGGGGACCCTGACTCCGAGCGCGTGTGTGCGGGTGAAGGTGTGGGGTACCCCCCCCTCGCCCCCCTTTATTTTGCAGATAGGTTTCTCAGGAGCAGAGCAAGGGGCGGCTGCGTGTTTGTGTGTGTGTGTGAGCGCAGTGGGACCGCACTGCCGACTGGCTCTGGCAGCCGGAGGAAGCGAAGCCCGTTAGGAGCGCGCCCTGTCTCTGTCAGTCTCACCGCGCGGCCCGGCCCGGCTCTAAGCGGAGCGACCCGGCCCCTCTGCCTCGGGGATGCGCGGCTGCTGCCTGCGGGCTCTGCCGGCTGGGGGCTGGAAGAGCCCCGGCATCCCCGCCGCGCTGTGCTGCGCCGCGCCGCGCCGCGGGGAGGGCTCCTCGCCGGCTGTGTTCAGCGCAGCCTTTCTGAGGGTTTTGCAAGGGAGTGGAGGGGGAGGGGAAGGGGGGGACGACTACGGTTGTTTTGCGGGACGGGACTCTATTTATTTATTTATTTGTTTTAAACCGAGCACCGAGGTGTTGGGTGGAAAAAAAAAAAAAAAAAAAAAAAAAAAAGGAAAACAACAGCCAAGCAAAAGGGGAAAAAAAAAAAAAAAAGAGAGAGAAAAAGGTCATAAACAGCGAGCAGGCAGTTCGATCCCTGCCCTATCTGACTGCTCGTGCCAGAATCAAGTGCATCCCTTCCCATCACGGCGGCTAATGGCAGACGCGTCCCTGCTTCCCCTTCTTGCCATACGTGAAATTTCCTGCAAAAATACTAATAAACTTTCCCCCATCCGATGCCAACTTACGGCGGTGCCCCTCCACTCCTCCCTTCCTTCATCTTGCCCCCCACCTCCCCCAGCCTCCCCAGCAGCAGCAGCAGCAAACGCCCGGGTTGGTATTTCTTTTGTTACCTGCGAGCCGGGCGGCCGGGGTCCCTCCTCGGCTGCTTAGGGCACCGGGTCCAACCGGGAGAGGAGGCACAGCAGTCGGGTTCAGCCCGTTTCACCTCAGCGCCGTCCCGAGGAGGCTTTAGCCACCATTCAATAACACACCCTCCTCCTCCTCTTCCTCCTTAGGTACCAAGGCAGAGAGATCGCAAACATAACACCCCCCTCCCCACCAAAAAAAAAAAAAAAAAAAAAAAAAAAAAAAAAGCCAACCAAAAGACAACTTGCCAGGCTGAAGATGGTGGATTTACATTAAGCCAGACACAGGCAGGTTCACTCAGGAAGTCTGACCATCCCGTTTTCTGACAGTTGCATTTCCTCGGCTCCATTCCGTCCTCCTTTTTTCTTTTTCTTTTTTCTTTGCTTTTTTTTTTTTTTTTTAATTCTCTTTTTTATTAGCCTCGTTCCATTTTTAATCGAGGATTATGTAGTTGGCAGGAGGACAGTGAGAAGGAGAGTGGAAAGAGAGGGCTTGTGTGCTTTTGGGGTGGTTGCTGTGAAGGTGTTTTTTTTTTTTGATGGTGTTTTTTTTTTTTTTTTTTTTTTTTTTTTTCAATTGTGTTTCTCCTGGATTTTCAGTGGCTCAATCCTTGGGAGCTGTGCTGGAGTGTTTAAAAAGATCATATGTAGCATTATATTTTTAGTTTGGTGGTGGATGGATGGAAGAGGTAGTGAGAAGCCTTTGCAGCCCTGCCTGTTGTTGGTTAGATTGAGGCAGAGACTTGGCTGCGATTGGGACGCGACTGTGACATGGGCATCGATCGCTTCCATTGAGAGCAATGCAAAAACACAGCCTGGGTATGTAACACTCTCAGTGCCATCAACACTTGTTTTACTTTATATTTACTGGCAAAACTGACAGAACGATCCGGAGAGCTTTTCTTTGAAATGAGGAATACAAACGTTTGGCTGGGAAGGTGCACAAAGAAGATTGTGGAAATAAATGGGGGGCTGAAGGTTGGGCTGGGGGGGAGAGCCTTGATCATCATTGCTCCACTTCCTATTCATCTGACTGTATTTAAGGAGTTTCTCTCTTTTCTCGACTCGGGGATCCTACTAAAGTGGTGGAAATGAAAAAAATCAGACAATCAACCTTGAGGGAATATCTGCTAGTTTTCAGGGTTTGCGGTTTCAGCCGGTAGGAAGGCACACAACATAAAAGATGGCTAGCCAGCTGTTTTAACCTCTTGCACCTGGCTCCAGATCTGGGGCTCACTAGGATTATTCAGTTATTCGTGCTATCTGTGCCTGAATATTTATAGTGTACGATCTAGAAATCCACACAGTGCATTGTAGCATCTCTTTATCCTTTAGTCGTGGTGGTTTTGGACTTCGTCAACATAAACATGTATTCAATAGTTTTCATTTTTATGATAATGAACATAGAGGGTCAATGAAATATAGAGGGAAAAGTCGTAAATCTGTAAAAGTGAAACCTACCCAAGGAACAAAGAAAGGTCAGGTAAACCATCTGTGTAAGTCACAGTAATAGTACCTGCTGTTTGGCTTATGCAGTGATACTGCTTTATTATTCTCTAAAATGAAACTTACCCATTAGATCAAGCTAAAACTAAAAGAGAGCCGTGGAGATGATAAATGGCGTTGTGTGTGTCTTTCAGAACAAGGAGATATTTTTGTTCCTTGGTTTTTGAATAGTTCAGGTTTATTTGTGAAGATGGTGCACCAGCAAAGATCATACAAAGGGGGCCGAGAAGAATCACTGTTTAATATTGCAGAATTTACTGCTTCCATTCTGACCATGAGCCTAAATTTACACAATGAAATTTGATTATCTCTAATAACAATATTAGATCCTGCACTGGATGGATGAGAATTGAGGTGGTTTTGTTGATTGCAAGGGTTTAATGTTGCATTTCAGAATCTGATGTGGTTTAGCCTCCCTTCCATTAACTGGAAAACCCCTGAGGTTTTACAATTATTTCTTAAAGATAATACATTTAAGATTGCATTGGTAGGCTGAAGAAAAGTCATAAAGGCAAGAAGGGAAGCCCTTAATAACTCTTGAGATTCAGACATGTTCAGCAGTTAGATTGGCTCTGACTTCACCAAGGGTCGACAATGTGTCATTTCCATGAAGCCAAATTGCCCTCTGCCTATATGATATTAATGTGCAAATCAATATTTCAGGGATTAAATTTCCCTTCTTCATTTTTTATGGTTTCTACCTCAATAAGTCTCAAGTCTATTAGAAGAGGCTGGATGATTTAAAATCTTTCACTGCAGAATGGCTTGTCGTAGCCTTGTTTCACAGACCGTTTTTGGATTTTCGTTATAAAAGACGAAAGGCATTCCAAAGAAGTTGATAGTCAATATAGGGACATGCTCACTGTTGTAAAGCCATTGTTCGATTAAGAGCTAAAAAGGTATTGGAAATATAATATATGTGTTTTTATAATATATATTCATTCTGCTGCTTTAAAAATATTGTGTTAATCACCTATTGATTTATTTCAAAATCGATTGAAGCTTCTTTCTTATTAGTGATTTGTTCAGCATTCTTCAGCATTGTTGTTAATTTCCTTAAGCAGCATGCATGAATTAATCTACTGGTAGAATGTGTTTTGAGTTTTCTTTGAAGCATACTTAAAACCAGGCATTTCTACCTATTTAAGGTGAGTGGTGTGAACTGCTTAGTATTGTTGGGAGAGCAGGGCACTTCGGACTCAGCATTGTTTTAATGAAGCTCAGGGGCATTTTGTAAATATTTTATGATTTCTACTCAGATGCTTATCAGCAATGTTTATGAAAGGTTTCCACTGAATATTCAGGATCAGTTAAAAATCAAAATGGAGCTATCTGATCTGGAAGGAAACAATACATGACAGAAAATTTAGGTCAAAATATGAGGTTGTGACTTTATCACACAATCTTGGGAAGGCCCTACTGTCTATCATTTACTGTTGTTTTACAGTCTTAGACCATCTGGACCAAGTTCCGCACAGCTGCATGAATTTCATATGTGATAGAACATTTTTTCCATTCAGTGTGAAATGTTCCTTCCTAAAAACGTACACCAGACTCGCTTAATTTAGTCTGCTAAAAGAAATGCACATGAAAAAGGACAAAAGGCTCTTTAATCTCTGCAAGCTGTTTGTTTTTCTTCAAGATTCCTGTCTGTTTGGGTTTGAAAAGTCATGTTTATTGAGCTGATGATTCTGAGGTGTGACATTAAAATAATATATGATTTTTGTGCTAGTTTCTGCTCTCCTAGTTAATTTGCAGAACTACTTTTTATGCCTGTCAAAACACATAGTTAATCTATTCTTATTTACAATTAATCTCAATAAAATTAATCTTAACTATGCCTTAGTCAGTAGCTTAAAATATCTAATTATATTCAATTAACTGCTGTCATAGTAATTAACACTGCTTAATTGCCTCTGCATATATTTATGTAAAGCTCATTAGTTACTGCTTGCTCTTTTTTTCCTTTTCTCCTTCCCATTTTTGTGGCTCTGAGAGCACTGACACAAAACCCAGGGCAGGTTTTTGACAATTTGCTTCTTGAAGGATCTATGATAATGGCAGCACATGTGTTTGTAGCATGTTATGTGCATAAATATTTATGTTTTCATCTGCAAAAAGAGTACCAGAACTAGGTCTATAAAGAACTTCCAGCCCTCCTTTCCTTCTTCCCCCCCTTTTCCTACCACAGCACATACAAAAATGTTTTCTAGCCTTGTTGATAGAAATATGAGAAGTCAGGTTAAGCTTTGTGTTTACAAATGAAGAGCTTTTCTGCATCTGCCTTGGGGCTGTACCCAGAAGGCAGAGCTTTGCTGCTCCGAATTCATTCAAAGGGTTAAAGACTTGGCCAAGGTTCAAACCGAGAAGCGCCCAGGGAAAGTGCATGTGAATATGTACAAGTTTCATGTAATTAGTGCTTAATTATATTAACATATGCAAATTGTCAACTTAGGAGCTTGTTGAGCTGGCAAAGATCAGCCAGGCACAATTGCTGTATTGTTCTGAAACAATAATGGATTTCAAGTTGGATTGTGAAAACACATAACTAGCTATCTAATTTAACTCATACCATGGTGAAATTTCATTAGTCTCCATGGAGACTGGTTTAATTGTGCTGACTAATGTTCTGGGCTGCAGAATGTCCTAAAAAGAAAGCGTTGTTTGCCTAATCCACCTTACAATGACACTTGTTTGTACATGTTTCCCTTGTGTGAGAATTTGCATATGCAAATAAATAGTTTCTCTGCCCCATTTGTCATGGCTGTTCATTACCCATGAAGAGGACATTGTTACTAGGCTGTTACTGAGTCTCCCAAGACAGGATAGTGTCAACCAGTCCAGCCACATTCTTTCATAATTTGTTTCTGATTAATAGACCAGAGTGAGGCTCATTCTATTCAGGCCTCTGCAAAGGGAAGGTCAGTTCTGTCACTGAAAAGAGTTTCCGCAGCAACTGAAGTTTTTGCTCTCCCTCCCCCACCCCCTGCTCTCTCTGGCTAAAATAATCATATTTAAAATAATGTATTCTCGCTCTAAGGAATACCTCCGCTAATAATCTCTAGTTTCCTAAAGCAAAAGATAGGAAAATAAAGGAGATTCTGGTATTGGAATATTAATCCTGTTTTTGACAGAAAGGTAAACTGATATAATTGCTTTTCAGTCGAAGGAATGGGGGTTTATACAAGTGTGAAAGCATCGGAAAAGGATTAGCATTTTTTTGCATAATGAAAAGCTCTGTTGAATAGGGCACTGAATGGTTGACTGAATGACTGAGATGAAAGGAAGATGAAAATGCAGGCTCCTCTTTCTTTATGCGTATGTTCAGCTCTCCCTAAAGTTATGTTTGTCCAAGACTTGAGAAAACAAGCAGGAGCTCGGATTTCAGCAACTTTTTAAGATGCCCCGAGTTTCCATCATCATGTGAAGTAATGCGTACGAGAGCAGCGTAGTGAAAAGCTGATAAACCCAGGTTCGGATGGAGAGGAGTTCCAGGAACATGACAGGCAAACCAAATATTGACTATTGGGTATCGAGGACTCCCAGCACCTTGCCTGGGGAGCAGAACAAGAGAGGAGGGGGCTGGCAGGGAGAGACGGACTCAGTTTAAAAGTTGCCAATGGAAATTATGCAT